GATCTGTCTCTATTGGTTTCATTGTAGGGGGTCTGTCTCTGTTGGTTTCATTGTAGGCGGTCTGTCTCTGTTGGTTTCATTGTAGGCGGTCTGTCTCTGTTGGTTTCATTGTAGGCGGTCTGTCTCTATTGGTTTCGTTGTAGGTGGTCTGTTTCTATTGGTTTCATTGTAGGGGGTCTGTCTCTGTTGGTTTCATTGTAGGCGGTCTCTCCCTATTGGTTTCGTTGTAGGCGGTCTGTCTCTGTTGCATTCGTTGTAGTCGGTCTGTCTCTGTAGGCGGTCTGTGTCTGTTGGTGTCATTGTAGGCGGTCTGTCTCTGTTGGTTTCATTGTAGGCGGTCTGTCTGTGTTGGTTTCATTGTGGGCGGTCTGTCTCAGTTGGTTTCATTGTAGGCGGTCTGTCTCTGTTGGTTTCGTTGTAGGTGGTCTGTCCCTGTTTGTTTCATTGTAGGCGGTCTATCCCTATTGGTTTCGTTGTAGGCGGTCTGTTTCTGTTGGTTTCGTTGTAGGCGGTCTGTCTCTGTTGGTTTCGTTGTAGACGGTCTGTCTCTGTTGGTTTCATTGTAGGCAATCTGTCTCAGTTGCTTTCATTGTAGGTGGTGTTACCCGGTTGGTTTCGTTGTAGGTGGTCTGTCTCTGTTGGTTTCATTGTAGGTGGTCTGACCCTGTTGGTTTCATTGTAGGCGGTCTGTCTCTGTTGGTTTTGTTAAAGGTGGTCTGTCTTTGTTGGTTTCGTTGTGGGCGGTCTGTCTCTGTTGGTTTCATTGTAGGCGGTCTGTCTCTGTTGGTTTCGTTGTAGGCGGTCTGTCTCTGTTGGTCTCGTTGTATGTGGTCTGTCCCTGTTGGTTTCGTTGTAGGCGGTCTGTCCCTGTTGGTTTCGTTGTAGACGGTCTGTCTCTGTTGGTTTCGTTGTAGGCGGTCTGTCTCTGTTGGTTTCATTGTAGGCGGTCTGTCTCTGTTGGTTTCGTTGTAGGTGGTCTGTCTCTGTTGGTTTCATTGTAGGCGGTCTGTCTCTATTGGTTTCGTTGTAGGTGGTCTGTCTCTGTTGGTTTCATTGTAGGCGGTCTGTCTCTGTTTGTTTCGCTGTAGGCGGTCTGTCTCTGTTTGTTTCATTGTAGGCAGTCTGTCTCTGTTGGTTTCATTGTAGGCGGTCTGTCTCTGTTGGTTTTGCTGTATGCGGCCTGTCTCTGTTGGTTTCATTGTAGGCGGTCTGTCTCTGTTGGTTTCATTGTAGGCGGTCTGTCTCTGTTGGTTTCGTTGTAGGCGGTCTGTCTCTGTTGGTTTCATTGTAGGCGGTCTGTCTCTGTTGGTTTCGTTGTAGACGGTCTGTCTCTGTTGGTTTCGTTGTAGACGGTCTCTCTCTGTTGGTGTCATTTTAGGAAGTCTGTCTCTGTTGGTTCATTGTAGGCGGTCTGTCCCTATTGGTTTCGTTGTAAGCGGTCTGTTTCTGTTGGTTTCGTTGTAGGCGGTCTGTCTCTGTTGGTTTCGTTGTAGGCGGTCTGTCTCTGTTGGTTTCGTTGTAGGTGGTCTGTCTCCGTTAGTTTGGTTGAGATGGTCTGTCTCTGTGGATTTCGTTGTAGGCGGTTTGTCTCTATTGGTTTCATTGTAGGGGGTCTGTCTCTGTTGGTTTCGCTGTAGGTGGTCTGTCCCTGTTGGTTTCGTTGTAGGCGGTCTGTCTCTGTTGGTTTCATTGTAGGCGGTCTGTCTCTGTTGGTTTCGTTGTAGGCGGTCTGTCTCTGTTGGTTTCATTGTACGCGGTCTGTCTCTGTTGGTTTCATTGTACGCGGTCTGTCCCTGTTGGTTTCGTTGTAGGCGGTCTGTCTCTGTTGGTTTCATTGTAGACAATCTGTCTCTGTTGGTTTCATTGTAGGTGGTCTGACCCGGTTGGTTTCGTTGTAGGTGGTCTGTCCCTGTCTCTGTTGGTTTCGTTGTAGGCGGTCTGTCTCTGTTGGTTTCATTGTAGGCTTTCTGTCTCTGTTGGTTTCATTGTAGGCGGTCTGTCTCTGTTGCTTTCGCTGTAGGTGGTCTGACCCTGTTGGTTTCGTTGCAGACAGTCTGTCTCTGTTGGTTCCGCTGTAGGCGGTCTGTCTCTCTTGGTTTCATTGTAGGCAGTCTGTCTCTGTTGGTTTCATTGTAGGCGGTCTGTCTCTGTTGGTTTCATTGTAGGCGGTCTGTCTCTGTTGGTTTCGTTGTAGGCGGTCTGTCTCTGTTGGTGTCATTGTAGGCGGTCTGTCCCTGTTGGTTTCGTTGTAATCGGTCTGTCGCTGTTGGTTTCGTTGTAGGCGGTCTGTCTCTGTTGGTTTCATTGTAAACGGTCTGTCTCTGTTGTTGGTTTCGTCTCTGTTGTAGGCGGTCTGTCTCTGTTGGTTTGGTCTGTCTCTGTTGGAGGCGGTCTGTCTCCGTTGGTTTGGTGCAGGCGGTCTGTCCCTGTTGGTTTCACTGTAGGTGGTCTGATCCTGTTGGTTTCATTGTAGGCGGTCTGTTTCTGTTGGTTTTGTTGAAGGTGGTCTGTCTTTGTTGGTTTCGTTGTGGGCGGTCTGTCTCTGTTGGTTTCATTGTAGGGGGTCTGTCTCTGTTTGTTTCGCTGTAGGCGGTCTGTCTCTGTTGGTTTCATTGTAGGCAGTCTGTCCCTGTTGGTTTCGTTGTAGACAGTCTGTCTTTGTTGGTTTCATTGAAGACGGTCTGTCTCTGTTGGTTTCATTGTAGGCAATCTGTCTCTGTTGGTTTCGTTGTAGACGGTCTGTCTCTGTTGGTTTCGTTGAAGGCGGTCTGTCCCACTTGGTTTCATTGTAGACGGTCTGTCTGTGTTATTTTCATTGTTGGTTTCGTTTTAGGTGATCTCTCCCTGTTGGTTTCGTTGAAGGTGGTCTGTCTCTGTTTGTCACATTGTAGGTGGTCTGTCTCTGTTGGTTTCGTTGTAGGCAGTCTGTATTTGTTGGTTTCGTTGTAGGCGGTGTGTCTCTGTTGGTTTCATTGTAGGGGGTCTGTCTCTGTTGCTTTCGCTGTAGGTGGTCTGTCCCAGTTGGTCTCGTTGTAGGCGGTCTGTCTCTATTGGTTTTGTTGTAGGTGGTCTGTCTCTATTGGTTTCATTGTAGGGGGTCTTTCTCTGTTAGTTTCGCTGTAGGCGGTCTGTCTCTATTGGTTTCATTGTAGGCAGTCTCTCTCTGTTGGTTTCATTGTAGGCGGTCTGTGTCTGTTGGTGTCATTGTAGGCGGTCTGTCTCTGTTGGTTTCGTTGTAGGCAGTCTGTATCTGTTGGTTTCATTGTAGGCGGTCTGTCTCTGTTGGTTTCGTTGGAGGCAGTCTGTCCCTGTTGCTTTCACTGTAGTCGGTCTGTCCCTGTTGGTTTCGTTGTAGACGGTCTGTCCCTGTTGGTTTCGTTGTAGGCGGTCTGTCTCTGTTGGTTTGGTAGAGGCGGTCTGTCTCCGTTGGTTTGGTGCAGGCGGTCTGTCCCTGTTGGTTTCACTGTAGGTGGTCTGACCCTGTTGGTTTCATTGTAGGCAGTCTGTCTCTGTTGGTTTCTTTGTGGGCGGTCTGTCCCTGTAGGTCTCGTTGTAGGCAGTCTGTCCCCGTTGGTTTCGCTGTAGGTGGTCTGTCCCTGTTGGTTTCGTTGTGGTCGGTCTGTCCCTGTTGGTCTCGTTGTAGGCTGTCTGTCTCTGTTGTTTTCGTTGTAGGCGGGCAGCACCTGTTGGTTTCGATGTAAGCGGTCTGTCTCTGTTGGTTTCGTGGTAGGAAAAGACAGTTGTAAGCGACTGATTTATTTGGGTCAATGATCGAATTTTGGTGGGTATATACGATGGACATGACCAATTAATATCTTGTTTTTGAATGATAAGATGATATCAATATATCGAAAGACGCAGTGATTTTGATTTACTTCCGTCTCCCCCTAGGTTTCAAAATCTAGATCCCTAGCATCACTGACGAGTTCTAGAAGGACGAACCTGACAGCTGAACGTGCTTTCCATATGATTTAAGAATCATTCCGAAAAAGTACTCCAACCTACCATACTGAAGCCAAATAGTCATAAATGTCCACACACTCGTGACCCATCGTTATGAATGTCAAGACAAAATTTGCAGACCATCACAACAACGATTAATCATTCCAATGTTCTTGTTATATCATTTCGACAAATTAGCGCAGTGATGGATTGGTTTGACTTTTTACCAGGACGTATTGCAATAAATATTGGTTACATGATAAACAGATTTTCACATTCGTATACATATCACGTGAGATTTGAGAATCTCCATGAAATTTATTATGGTAGAGAATCTCGCATTTTTAAACATATATTCGCCGCTTTGTCCGTTCGTCATAATTTCGTCCGGAGCATATCACAGAAACTAACGTCTATTCGGGGAGCATCCATCGGTTCTACTGATTTTCTTGTTAGGCTTGTTCCATGAATATGATTTAGAACAGAAGATTTCGCTATAGACATACAGGTGAATAGCACATTTAAGTAGAAATTTACAATAAGATACAGTAGAGCGAAACATCTAAACGCATCCTACATCTAATTCTTCTAAGACTTGACAGCGAGGCTATGGCAGATGCACTAACCCAGAATTCAATAAATTATAAAGTTCATTCAAAAGAACGGCACATTTATATATTCTGAACCACGTCGAATGAATTTAAACATGAAATGCGGCTATGGCACACCTCGGAGACTAAAAGGCATCCAGCGGTGTACAAATTCTATCAATATTGATGGCAAAATTCAATAGTCAAAACACAGTTACCGTATGGGGATATCCATGTCTATGTTTTGGTGGACTTCTTTAAAACAAACACATCCGAGAAAAAAAATTTACGTATTTTTTAAAACCACATGCCAAAGTTAGTGGTACAGTGCAGAATATACACATGTGCTTGACGTTCTTCAGAAATTGTCAGATATTTAAACATTTCTAATTTCAATTGAATCCTGTAACTAGTGTATCTCCCGTACAGAGTCTGGCTCCATCTCCCGTACAGAGTCTGGCTCCGTACAGAGTCTGGCTCCATCTCCCGTACAGAGTCTGGCTCCATCTCCCGTACATAGTTTGACTCCATCTCCCGTACAGAGTCTGGCTCCATCTCCCGTACAGAGTCTGGCTCCATCTCCCGTACATAGTCTGGCTCCATCTCCCGTACAGAGTCTGGCTCCATCTCCCGTTCATAGTTTGACTCCATCTCCCGTACATAGTTTGACTCCATCTCCCGTACAGAGTCTGGCTCCATCTCCCGTACATAGTTTGACTCCATCTCCCGTCCAGAATCTGGCTCCATCTCCCGTACAGAGTCTGGCTCCATCTCCCGTACATAGTTTGACTCCATCTCCCGTACATAGTTTGACTCCATCTCCCGTACAGAGTCTGGCTCCATCTCCCGTACAGAGTCTGGCTCCATCTCCCGTACATAGTTTGACTCCATCTCCCGTACATAGTTTGACTCCATCTCCCGTACAGAGTCTGGCTCCATCTCCCGTACAGAGTCTGGCTCCATCTCCCGTGTTATCTTGACTTAATGACAACAAAGAGACAATAATCGGTTTACCTCGTCCACATTTATTGGTTTAACAACAGAGTTGTAGATTCCATTATCAAACACTTTAACTTCGATTTTGCTGGTTTTATATTCTTAGCAACAACACCAAGAAAAGGGGTGGAGTAAAATTCAGTGATATAACACCAAGAAAATGGCCAAAGAACGGAATTAATCAGAAAAAATCAATGATATAACACAAGCTCTTATTGTTAAACTGTTTTTCCCCGGAAAAGAGTTTATTTACAATTACTCAAAATATGACACCAGTCAAATTATTGTTGAATTATTACATAGTTTAATATATTAAATGGATTTTTTCTGTCTTGTTAAACCAAAGTATTTTTTTTTCTCTTGCACCAAAAATGATAGGTGATATAGATTAATTTCTAAACACATTTCGTAAGTTGGGAAATAAAATTGAAATAGAAAATAAGATGAAAAGTTACATTACTTTGATATGTTAAAAGCATGGTTTTTTATGCAAAGTTTACCCATTTCAAAAAGAATAACTCGCATTGAAAATGGCCTTATAAACAATTACATAATACTAAGTTATTTTGAACTGCAAATGGCTTCTCTACAATACCTAGAGTGAAGAGATTCATTCGGAACAAGAATCTCTATGTTGCAGTTTTGCTATAAAAATGTGTACAGAACATAGGAATGCGGATATGTAGAGAACCTGTTTACAGCTAATATTTTTTTCTTTCACGTCGAAAATACATTTTACCACATCAAACAAAAGAAATAAAATAAAAACATATCAAATGAAGTTGCTTATCACAAAATTACTGTACATCATAATGAAATACAAACGAGATAAACATGCCATTGTTTTTTTGAATACCAGAACGAAGTTTAAGTTAGAAAAAAAAAACAATAAAAAGTGGCCGTATTCCGACCAAACAAACTGAGGTATAGTTTTCTTATCATTTTGGACTTGTTTGTTGATAACACGAATAAATGTTTGTTACTTAACAAGGAAACGCCAGATTCAACATAAAATAGACACACGCCTCACGTTACAGCAGGCTTATATTGATAGTGTTGAAATTTGCACAAAAGACACGCCACTTCTGGGTAGATAAATAACAGCTCAAGAAAAAATATCATAATTTATCATATGTAATTACAACCTGTCACAAAGCAGTGGCAAGTGTATTGTAATATGATGAAATTCAACAATGACGATTTACACGTTAAAGGTAAGACTATAGTTAGATAACGCGATTTTTAGTCACTGAAGTCTTTTTAACAACGTTGTGCGTTTATGTCTGAAATTTGCCACGGCAATGGCTGCATCGATTTCTGTGGGTGTGAGATCTCGCAAAAACAATCATTTCAAAAACTGAAATTACTGAAAATAGAACAGTTGGCAAATACGGCAGCAAACTTAAATAAATTAACAGATGAGCATGGCTTCTCCAACAATATATTATACACACATGTACGTCACGCAACAAAAATCTGGGTTACATTGTTAAAAAATAGAACTCACTTAATGATGCACGCGTTGTCAGTTTGGAGTGAATAACTCATGCTTTTGGAATTTCAATATTAATGAAAATACTGAAATGAAAACTTAGGACAAATATAGACCATGGAAAAACACCGTCTCGCATATGTTTACGACATAGTAAACAATGACCCATTGTTGAGGTAAGTACAAGGTTATTGAAATCGATTATTTCATGGTGACTACAGTTTTAAACAGGAATTTTTCCATGTTTGTAAAATTCATGACATGTTGAAACATATTAATTTTTTTTTAAAAAAATGTGCATTCAGATGGTTCAGGACATTAAAAGCGTTTAGTTGATCACGACCGTGATATATTACCAGGTACACAAAGGTAAAAACATTTTTCTGACGTTATTCATTATTGAAATAAATTCCGTCCGGCGCTTGCTTAAAGCCTTCGAAGACAAACGTTCAGGTGAATGAGGAATGTGCAGCAACATGAGGATTAACATTTGACTGGTGAATGGTTAGAAGATTTGACATACAACGTGACCTCAATCTCATCATTCCTCATTATAGATCTATTTTGATGTTTTGGCTTTTACAGGTTGCTAAACAGCAAACACTCTGTGTTCTACAGATATCAAAACTAATTTTTTTTATAAAATACCATTTTCGAAACATACTGTAGTAAGATTTAGGCACTGATAGTTGACGATTAACACCTGATGCCTGTCAAGTGTTACAAAAATAGACAAGGAAAGCTTATCTCGGATCATCTCTTATTTCTGCTTGGTAGTGAAATTCTAGATTTAAAAATGCCAACATTTTACAGTAGTTTTTAAGATGTATGTACTTAGGTTGGAAACCTTTAAACAGTGTTGGATATCGATATGTGCAATAAGCAACAGGACAAGTGAACCAGTGTTGAATTAAGCTATCGGTGAAATGTCGGAAACCATCCAAAATCAAGATTTTTCTGTCCAAAATTACACCATTCGATACAGTACCTAAAGTGTGTTGACAATAACTATCATCTGACAGATCAGAAAACGTCTGTAACAATTAAAGTTATTTTAGGATAAAACATTTGTACAGTGTATAAATTATCACTCAGAGTCTTTTTAGATAATATGTTCACTACTTTTGCATACATACTTGGGTCTCACATTCACAGTGATATCTGACAAAGGAAAAACGCCATGATTTAACACCCGTACACCGTTCCTTTTTGCGGGATTCCTTTATAGGGTCGACCAAAATACAGAAAGTGTACTGACGCTTTACCATAAATAATTAGACCGTAATAAATGTGACGTCATCACTTATTGTCATAAACCTAGTTCATCATCCACACAGCTCTCCTCTATCACTAGCCAGGAGAAAGAAAGTGCAGTTTGTCAAACAGGTTGATATATTTCCACTTTTATTACTGGCATAACTGGATAGGTATATTTATACATACATTCATACTTACATTCACATATATACTTATAATGGTACATATCACACACATTCTAAAAAAAATATCACACAAGATTTCGACGCAACATTTGCCCTGAAATAAGAGAAATCATTTTTACGCATTTTGACACTGTAGTATGTCATTTACATTAAAACAATAAAAAGTTCAATGTTTTAAGATACATATTGTTACCTAATTTGTTTTTCATCCAAAAATGTTAAAACTGTTTTGTCCTGTTGTCCGCCTGTTGAACCGTGACCACCAAGGCTGCTGTGCCGATTGAACAAACGTGGGCCTACTCATAATCAAGGGGAGACAACGCCGGGTAGACCAATCACAACGGAGATATGGTGAACCACAGTTGTTTGTATTAGGTACACACCTGGGTCTCGCCTGACATCTATAAATCCTTCTTGTAAATATATCATTAATACCGTCAATAACGAGTAATCTCCCTAGGCCCATTGGCACCAGGGGGAGCTGTTCATTTTCCCCAACAATTCTCGGGAAATCTCGGGCAGGATTAATTCCCATTCGGCGTTGCCGATTTCTAAATTCCTCCCATATGCAATCCACATATGCATGGTGCACGAAGAACGCAGGGTCATATGAAGACGACTCGATCCGACTCATCTGTTCGCCGATCCATACATGAACGTTGTTGTGAAGTAATTCCAAGTTACTATTGTCCTGTCCACTCGGATGAGTAATCTGCCAAAGCCATCGTCGTCGCAACACGTTATTGATGTTGGTGGCAGTCATCAGATTTCTTTCTGCCCCAATATTACGTCGTAATAGTCCGTACGGAGTTCCCCAATTACGAAATGGTCCGTTTTCTACAACGCCGTTTCCGTTGCCTAGAAACAGGGGAGACCATGTGATTGAGCGTGTGGCATCAGCAAGGCCCTGGTCTAATGTATTATCCCAGTAAGGTATCGTAACGTTCGGAACTTTCTCACGACAGGCGTTTTCCACTCTGATAAAGATAAAAAAAAGTCGATTATGAACCACGTGTTAAACGATATTCTTACCTTATAAGCCACTTATATGTAATCACAGAAACAAATATTACTGATGGTTATCGTAATGAAAGGTAATCCAATTAAGAAAATGTCTAAATTTATTCAGTGAGGGGTTAGTGCACACATCCTCTATATTTCATACTGTAAACGCAATTTAACCGATTATTTGACTTTACTGGGTCTAATTCTGTGTATCGACTGGTCACGGCAATTAATTTGCGAGTATTTTGTATAATTATACTATACTTTTTAGAAATTTAGAAATTTATGTAATTATGTAGTCGTTGCAACTTCCACATCAGATTTTGACGTTTCTATGAATCAATTTTAATTTGCACCAACCACCTCTTCGGTTTTAACATTTTGGCCCCTGGCATCAAAACAGGTCCTAGAAGATCCAAAAAGCAGTATGATCTAGGTAAAGTGATCATTTGTATCGGAAGGTGCCATTCACTTGTGTCTTTTGTGCAATCCTCCACATGTGTTGCAACATTGATATTTGACTATATTTACTCTCCAGGATACTTACAATACCATGTAGACCCTGTGCCAGCCAAGGAAATTTGGCCCACCATGAGCGCCACTAGCTGTGTTTAAGTGGTGGAGGGATGCCAGCGCGTCATACTTATTGGGCTGCACCGACTGAAAAAAGTACAAGAAATAAAAAAAAAAAGAAGAAAACATTGCTTTTCGTTTCGGAATATTACACTCCACTTGTTATCACCAAAAATCACATTTTTTTCTAACACTAACATAATAAATATGAATTTCAGAATGTTGACTTTCTAAGATTAATGCGTTTCAACTATATCATAAATATGGAAACAAATCATTATGGTTTTCATGAATAATATACAATTCGTGTGTATATCAGTTCGTGTGACATGGGCAGGAAGTCAAACCACAAACGACACGTACGTCCAACCATGATCGATCTCGGGACATCAAAAATACAGCACATCACAGCTTGAGCAGTTTATATCGTATACACTGTGCTAATTACAAGTATTCATGTCTCGTTTGTCAACTGTTAAAATTAAAGTAATTAAAGAGTCCTGTTTTTCTGTGTTAAGGACCACAGATACTCTATTCTTTTAATTTTTTTTTCGATTTAGTAGTGGAGTGTGTAAATAGCATTTTTACAAATATTTTTGATAACGCGCATTATGTTGAAATATATGAACAAAAATTAAGTTAAGTCACCTGTAATCAACAAAAAAAAGAAAAACAATTCCTATCTTTACATTTTGACTATTATGGGTTTTTTTTTTCAATTATGCTACTTTTGAAAAACTATCGCCATCGTTTATTAGACGTTATACACCATAAGTCGGGTCATATGAGGACGGATGTCATGAGAGTAACCAAGAGCGGAAAGCAAAGCACAGGGATACAGTTTCTAGAGGGTACAATTAATTGTTTCGGTAACAATGCACTTTTGCAAATTGAAAAACAAAACGAGTTCTTAAAACGGTATAAAATCATTGCTATCTACTGGTCATTCTGATAACAAAGAACACTGTTTTCTAGCGCTACTACACATAGTACTCGTGGGACATACTGGTATACTTTCTAAACTTGGTGTAAATTTGTAAAGTCATTGGATGTTTCCTAAAACACTATGGTTCAGTTGTGTGTATGAATTCTATATAATTGTTTTTTTTTTAAATCATTCTTTTTATTTTCTATATACTAAAGTATTTTCTAATGCTGATATATCATTGATCTCTGCAAATGTTGTATTTCATAACACTTGGAAAATGCCGATATATATGTTCTTAATCTTAGATGTGTTTTGAAAGGCAGTAATGAAGCAGTTGAATATCTTATAAAGCTGTATGGAAATTTTCTACGACTCTGGAATATAAGTAATGATGAATATTTGCTAATGCTGGTGAATATTTGCTAATGCTGGTGAATATATTCTCCAGCTGGTGGATATTTTCTGAGGATAATGTATATATTTCAATGCTGGTGAATGAATTATAAGGCCCATGGATATTTTCTACGCACATTATTTTTTTCAGATGGTAATATTTATTTCCTCAGGCTGTTGAATATTTTCCAAGACTTCTTTATATTTTGTTAAAACCTCTTTCGTATCGCCGAGAATTTGCATTTCCGCGATTATCTATTAAACTGTTCTAGTCTCATTTTTCTACCGATTAAATTTTCGCGATCAACCTTAACGTACCGTGAAATAGTGAAAAATACCGCGAAAATAACCGATTATAGGGTATGTGCATTCTGAATATTTTCTGAGGCCGGTCAATTTAACGTCAGGCAATGACTACTGCACGGTATACGGGGTAAGGCTCCTGTTCACGACAGTGCACAGATAAATAAACATGTCAACCTGATTCGCCTGTATGGCTGTCAGTATCCCGTCAAAAACACCACTTATATATTTTTATGTCATCTTAGCGAGCGGTTGATGGGTTAACGAACTACAGGTGATTACTTATCACTGCTACACCGAGGTGTTTTCATTCTGTGTAATGTTCAAGAGAGACCTGGACGTGTATATATATTGAATACATAAAATATTGTGAACGTTTAATGCAAACCGGGTTCTTAGAATAGAATACGCTGTAAAAGCCTATATTATTCTTTTTATATTATTCTTTTTCACAAATGAGTAAATGTGATTAAAACCAAACAACACAATAGTCATGTACGAATCTTTAAAAAAAAATAAAAAAAGGAACAGCATATTTATTTTTAAATAGCAATGGAAGCATTTATAGAAATCGTTTAAGTCATGAGAAATATTAACCCTGGTAATATTGTAAACACCTGATCCCTGTAAGTAACATTAACCCTGATAATATTGTCAACACATGTCTCCTATAAGTAACATTAACCCTGATACTATTGTAAACACATGTCTCCTGTAAGTAACATTTACCCTGGTACTATTGTAAACACCTGTCTCCTGTAAGTAACATTAACCCTGATACTATTGTAAACACCTGATCCCTGTAAGTAACATTAACCCTGATACTATTGTAAACACATGTCTCCTGTAAGTAACATTAACCCTGATACTATTGTAAACACCTTGATCCTGTAAGCAACATTAACCCTGATACTATTGTAAACACCTGTCTCCTGTAAGTAACATTAACCCTGATACTATTGTAAACACATGTCTCCTGTAAGTAACATTAACCCTGATACTATTGTAAACACCTTGATCCTGTAAGCAACATTAACCCTGATACTATTGTAAACACCTTGATCCTGTAAGTAACATTAACCCTGATACTATTATAAACACCTGTCTCCTGTAAGTAACATTAACCCTGATACTATTGTAAACACATGTCTCCTGTAAGTAACATTAACCCTGATACTATTGTCAACACCATGATCCTGTAAGTAACATTAACCCTGATACTATTGTAAACACATGTCTCCTGTAAGTAACATTAACCCTGATACTATTGTCAACACCATGATCCTGTAAGTAACATTAACCCTGATACTATTGTAAACACCTGTCTCCTGTAAGTAACATTAACCCTGATACTATTGTAAACACATGTCTCCTGTAAGTAACATTAACCCTGATACTATTGTAAACACCTTGATCCTGTAAGTAACAATAACCCTGATACTATTGTAAACACCTGTCTCCTGTAAGTAACATTAACCCTGATACTATTGTAAACACATGTCTCCTGTAAGTAACATTAACCCTGATACTATTGTAAACACCTTGATCCTGTAAGTAACATTAACCCTGATACTATTGTAAACACATGTCTCCTGTAAGTAACATTAACCCTGATACTATTGTAAACACCTTGATCCTGTAAGTAACATTAACCCTGGTACTATTGTAAACACCTGTCTCCGGTAAGTGACATTAACCCTGATATTATTGTAAACACATGTCTCCTGTAAATAAAATTTACCCTGATACTATTGTAAACACCTTGATCCAGTAAGTAACATTAACCCTGATAATATTGTCAACACATGTCTCCTGTAAGTAACATTAACCCTGATACTATTGTAAACACATGTCTCCTGTAAGTAACATTAACCCTGATACTATTGTAAACACTTGATCCTGTAAGTAACTAACCCTGATACTATTGTAAACACCTGTAAGTAACATTAACCCTGATACTATTGTAAACACATGTCTCCTGTAAGTAACATTAACCCTGATACTATTGTAAACACATGTCTCCTGTAAGTAACATTAACCCTGATACTATTGTAAACACCTTGATCCTGTAAGTAAGTAAACACATGTCTCCTGTAAGTAACATTAACCCTGATACTATTGTAAACACCTTGATCCTGTAAGTAACTATCCTGTAAGTAACATTAACCCTGTAACATTACCCTATTGTAAACATCCTGTAAGTAACATTAACCCTGGTACTATTGTAAACACCTGTCTCCTGTAAGTAACATTAACCCTGATACTATTGTAAACACATGTCTCCTGTAAGTAAAATTAACCCTGATACTATTGTAAACACATGTCTCCTGTAAGTAACATTAACCCTGATACTATTGTAAACACATGTCTCCTGTAAGTAACATTAACCCTGATACTATTGTAAACACATGTCTCCTGTAAGTAACATTAACCCTGATACTATTGTAAACACATGTCTCCTGTAAGTAACATTAACCCTGATACTATTGTAAACACATGTCTCCTGTAAGTAACATTAACCCTGATACTATTGTAAACACATGTCTCCTGTAAGTAACATTAACCCTGATACTATTGTAAACACCTTGATCCAGTAAGTAACATTTACCCTGATACTATTGTAAACACCTTGATCCTGTAAGTAACATTAACCCTGATACTATTGTAAACACCTGTCTCCTGTAAGTGACATTAACCCTGATACTATTGTAAACAAGTAAGTGACATTAACCCTGATACTATTGTAAACACATGTCTCCTACCCTGATACTATTGTAAACACCTGTCTCCTGTAAGTGACATTAACCCTGATACTATTGTAAACACATGTCTCCTGTAAATAAAATTTACCCTGACACTATTGTAAACACATGTCTCCTGTAAGTAACATTAACCCTGATACTATTGTAAACACATGTCTCCTGTAAGTAACATTAACCCTGATACTATTGTAAACACCTTGATCCTGTAAGTAACATTAACCCTGATACTATTGTAAACACCTTGATCCTGTAAGTAACATTAACCCTGATACTATTGTAAACACCTTGATCCTGTAAGTAACATTAACCCTGATACCAGTAAGTAACATTAACCCTGATACTATTATAAACACTTGTCTCCTGTAAGTAACATTAACCCTGATACTATTGTAAACACCTTGATCCAGTAAGTAACATTAACCCTGATACTATTGTAAACACATGTCTCCTGTAAGTAACATTAACCCTGATACTATTGTAAACACCTGTCTCCGGTAAGTGACATTAACCCTGATACTATTGTAAACACATGTCTCCTGTAAATAAAATTTACCCTGATACTATTGTAAACACATGTCTCCTGTAAGTAACATTAACCCTGATACTATTGCAAACACCTTGATCCTGTAAGCAACATTAACCCTGATACTATTATCAACTCCTTGATCATGAAAGTAACATTAACCCTGATACTATTGTAAACACCTTAATCCTTTAAGTAACATTAACCCTGATACTATTGTAAACACATGTCTCCTGTAAGTAACATTAACCCTGATACTATTGCAAACACCTTGATCCTGTAAGCAACATTAACCCTGATACTATTATCAACTCCTTGATCATGAAAGTAACATTAACCCTGATACTATTGTAAACACATGTCTCCTGTAAGCAACATTTACCCTGATACTATTGTAAACACCTTGATCACGTAAGTAACATTAACTCTGATACTATTGTAAACACATGTCTCCTGTAAGCAACATTAACCCTGATACTATTATCAACTCCTTGATCCTGTAAGCAACATTTACCCTGATACTATTGTAAACACCTTGATCCAGTAAGTAACATTAACTCTGATACTATTGTAAACACATGTCTCCTGTAAGCAACATTAACCCTGGTACTATTGAAAACAATGACAATACAGTCACGTGTTAATGTGTCAAGAGAACACGTGTCAGGATCCACGCGTATTCCCTGTTACCCTTATCTTACTCATCACCCGGGTATTGTTTGTACACTAAGGCTTTATGAAATATGAATCAAATTTAAACATTTGTCAACTGCGTACAACTCGTGGAGTTAGAAGGTTTCTCTGTAAAAGTGTTCTTATTGGATGAGGAAAAATTCCGAAGTGGCAGACTAAAAAGATTGGTGTCTGATTATATATCAAGAAAATACCACCAGGTCAATATCATAATCCGAAATCAAATTCAGTAACACAGGATCAGAATTAGGAAAAAAATGAGCAAAATGAAAGATTTAGACTCCTGAAAAAGAACAAGGAGAAAAAGACCAGGTGTTCCGGAAGAATAGATGTCTTTTGCTTTATCTACGACACCAGCCATGTTAAGTTGACATCGGGGAAATTTCATTGATTTAAACTTATATTATTGTGTGTCCCCACTGTTGCCTCTGAACCTTTGATAACTCACCCTGTCCTCCTTGAGCATGAGCAAAGCTCTGTGGAAATCCCCTCGTTCTTGGTCAGTCAAAAGGCGATACTCCTTGCGGTAGCGTAGCTGGCCCTCCGGAGGCAGATAAAACAATGTGTTTATCCATCTCACAAACTCCGGATTTAGGGCGAGAGAACGGGCACGTGTGGATGTCTGGAAATGACACAAGGGAAACACGGCCAGCAACAGATATAGGACACGGTATATCGAAGGCATTGTCTGAAAAAGATAAATAATAAATATGAAAATGAATAGATAAATAAATATATAAATGACAAGATAAATAAATAAAACACACTCAAGGAATAACTTCTTGCAGTACCAATTCCGACAAAAATGTATGTTTAAATTTTGGATAGTGTTTCAGCGAAAGTTTCCATCAAATAAAGATTGTTCAACAGGTGAAGTAAGATTATGAAATCATTGGAGTCGTACGGTGATAACCCCAAGTACATCAGTTCAGTAATAACCCCAAGTACATCAGTACAGTGATAACCCCAAGTACAGTGATAACCCCAAGTACATCAGTACAGTGATAACCCCAAGTACAGTGATAACCCAAGTACATCAGTACAGTGATAGGCCCAAGTTCATCAGTTCAGTGATAACCTCAAGTACAGTGATAACCCCAAGTACATCAGTACAGTAATAACCCCAAGTACATCAGTACAGTGATAACCCCAAGTACATCAGTACAGTGATAACCCCAAGTACAGTGATAACCCCAAGTACATCAGTACAGTGATAACCCCAAGTACAGTGATAACCCAAGTACATCAGTACAGTGATAACCCCAAGTACAGTGATAACCCAAGTACATCAGTACAGTAATAACCCCAAGTACATCAGTACAGTGATAAACCCAAGTACATCAGTACAGTGATAACCCCAAGTACATCAGTTCAGTGATAACCCCAAGTACAGTGATAACCCCAAGTACATCAGTACAGTGATAACCCCAAGTACATCAGTTCAGTGATAACCCCAAGTACATCAGTACAGTAATAACCCCAAGTAAAGTGATACCCCAAGTACAGTGATAACCCCAAGTACATCAGTACAGTGATAACCCCAAGTACAGTGATAACCCCAAGTACACCAGTACAGTAATAACCTCAAGTACAGTGATAACCCCAAGTACAGTGATAACCCCAAATAAATCAGTTAAGTGATTACCGCAAGTACATCAGTACAGTAATAACCCCAAGTACATCAGTACAGTAATAACCCCAAGTACATCAGTTCAGTGATAATACCAAGTACAGTAATACCTCAAAGTACATCAGTACAGTGATAACCCCAAGTACATCAGTACAGTGATAACCCCAAGTACAGTGATAACCCCAAGAACAGTAATAACCCCAAGTACATTAGTACAGTGATAACTTAAAGTACAGTAATAACCCAAAGTACATCAGTACAGTGATAACCCGAAGTACAGTGATAACCCCAAGTACAGTAATAACTCCAAGTACACCAGTACAGTGATAACTCCAAGTACATCAGTACAGTGATAACCCCAAGTACATCAGTACAGTAATAACCCCAAGTACATCAGTTCAGTGATAACCCCAAGTACAGTGATAACCCCAAGAACAGTAATAACCCCAAGTACATTAGTACAGTGATAACTTAAAGTACAGTAATAACCCAAAGTACATCAGTACAGTGATAACCCGAAGTACAGTGATAACCCCAAGTACAGTAATAACTCCAAGTACACCAGTACAGTGATAACTCCAAGTACATCAGTACAGTGATAACCCCAAGTACATCAGTACAGTAATAACCCCAAGTACATCAGTTCAGTGATAACCCCAAGTACAGTGATAACCCCAAGTACATCAGTACAGTGATAACCCCAAGTACATCAGTTCAGTGATAACCCCAAGTACATCAGTACAGTAATAACCCCAAGTAAAGTGATACCCCAAGTACAGTGATAACCCCAAGTACATCAGTACAGTGATAACCCCAAGTACAGTGATAACCCCAAGTACACCAGTACAGTAATAACCCCAAGTACAGTGATAACCCCAAGTACAGTGATAACCCCAAATAAATCAGTTAAGTGATTACCGCAAGTACATCAGTACAGTGATAACCCCAAGTACATAACCCCAAGTACAGTAATAATCCCCAAGTACATCAAGTACATCAGTACAGTGATAACCCCAAGTACATCAGTACAGTAATAACCCCAAGTACATCAGTACAGTGATAACTCCAAGTACATCAGTACAGTAATAACCCCAAGTACAGTGATAACCCCAAGTACAGTGATAACCCCAAATAAATCAGTTACGTGATTACCGCAATTACATCAGTACAGTAATAACCCCAAGTACATCAGTACAGTAATAACCCCAAGTACATCAGTTCAGTGATAACCCCAAGTACAGTGATAACCTCAAGTACATCAGTACAGTGATGACCCCAAGTACATCAGTACAGTGTTAACCCCAAGTACATCAGTTCAGTGATAACCCCAAGTACATCAGTACAGTGATAACCCCAAGTACATCAGTACAGTGTTAACCCCAAGTAAATTAGTTCAATGATAACCCCAAGTACAGTGATAACCCCAAGTACATCAGTACAGTGATAACCCCAAGTACATTAGTTCAATGATAACCCCAAGTACAGTGATAACCCCAAGTACATCAGTACAGTGATAACCCCAAGTACATCAGTTCAGTGATAACCCCAAGTAAATGTGTGCTACCCATCAAGGTTGTACGAAATACGCTCTAGTGAATGGCATTTTTCAATACAAGTTTAGATTCAGATGTAGGCCTACAGCGTTTCCGTCTTTGTAGGACTTGTCATTGATGATAAAGGCCTACCTTGCTGAAAACTAGGAGGAGAATAGGGAAAATCACACACGGCCGGAATTGATATAAAAACAGAGAATAAATACGAAGATTATAAAGAGGTGAAAAATAATTGTTTTTGTTAAATATACAGACAAGTTGTTCTACTAAATGAACAACAAAAACGTTAATTGTAAACTGATAAGGATCAATAGAAATATAATCAGGTAAATCACATTTACTGTGCACCAAATTGACAACAAAGATCAGTATTGCCCAGTAGATTGATATTTGTAGTCTGGATATACACCGTACACATTCCACGTACATGTTTATCACGGCCCACCATACAATCTCATTAACTCCGACACTCGCTTTCCTGGACAAAACATGTGTGGCGTTTTATCACTTATAACTGGATTTTTTAATACCCAAATCATGTATAGTTATGTTTATCCTCTCGCCTTTATGATGTTTTATCATAATGGAAAGTCTACCTAATTAGTGTTTTTAGTCGACAGTTTTGATGAGCAGAACTAAATAATGCAATCAGGGACAATGGATAAGGACGTTCATCTTACAACTGAATTTAAAGGCAAACAGTTTGTAAACTGAAACTCTATAGCACATTCCAACATTTGAAAATTTTAAAAGTAGTTATAGAAAATCTGTCAATCTCCACATAGTTCATTCTGACAATGCTGACTTTCAGAACTAGACAATAAATAAAAAGTGCCATTTACATTGCAAAAATGTAACAAATGTGAGTGAGAAACAGAACAGTAGCCAAAGACCATTAACTGCAGATAAACATCCTGTGTTCGTTGTCTTCTGATCTGGTGACCAACAAAACACCATCACAGATTCTTCTCCAAATACAAGGCAACGAATCAAACGTCACCTAACGAGATGTAATTTGGAGGAAATAGCTGTTGTGATTTTTAAGTGGAGATCATCACCCTCTGTCAACCAGAAAATACACCAATTAGTATGTGTAACGATCATACGAATTTTCAACAAATTGAAACGAAATAACACTTCGAAAAACAAGTTTATACATGAAGGGAAATGTTTTCAACACTAATGTGTTCATGTACAAAAATTTAATGTATTGTAACACATCTGTATGACATCCGGGGAGACATTTTACAACACCATTACAAAAGAACGCTTTCCAGGATGTAAACAAAATCTCGAAAAATATCCTCATCGACAACAAAACTGAAGGCTATTCATGTGATCAAGGATGGCGTTCATAGCCGATATAATACAACAAATATGATAAAGGTTTTTATATGTTTGATTGTTTGTTTATTTGTTTGTGTGTTTGTTAACAGGAAGGGTAATTTTGGGAAAGGGACTCGTGGTAGTAACTTTGACTACCTCACTGAAAAAAATACTGGAGGCCCTCCGTGGCATGCCTTCCAGAGCAGATGGTTAAGTGCCTTGTGGAAAGACACAACCATGACAGCACATGCCGATCCATTTATCAGATTCCTGACTCGGAAAAAAAACCCCGCAGTTTGTAGGGTGTATCGAACCATGCACCTCGGAACTTCTCAGAAGGCTACGTTCAGTCTAAGTCAATATAGGAAAATATAAAACCATAGATTGACAATGTCGCCAAGTCGTACAAAGTTAGGTAGATTCCGGTAACTTATACCAGCCCAATTGGAGAATTAGCAACTTTAATTTCAATGTCATGGATTTGTATCGCAATCAATCAGTAAAAATGAGGCCCGGTAGAATGTAGTATGTACTAACAGTCGGTGAACTGTTATCATTTCGCTGGTTATAACGGACGTCGCCTAGACAACGATTTACCAGGCAGATGGTCGATGAAGCAAATCACATCTGATGCTTGTACCTTTTCTTATCATGCTTGGTTTTGTAAAGGTTTTCTTTGAACACGTCGTTGTTCTTACATGGTTTATGAGTTTATCATTCTCCGGATCATAACCCGCAGATCCTAAACATTGTCGTAATGATATTAGTAGTCAGGCATAAAAGTCGTTAGCAGTGGAAAAATGTCACGAGGGTCTTCGGTCTATCGCTATGGTGACACTAGAAAGCACGAGTACTGCCGAAACAAAACTTAAAAGAATGATGGATTTAGATTACAAACAAGGTTACTTTTGATAGATATACAGGGAGAATTTACAGAATAAAATATCATCATAAGGTCGGACGAAAACCTGTATGATATAACACCAGGAAATGGTTCTCGTTTGATCACAGAAAGCAGTACGACGGTCCCTTCATCGATATGACAAGTGCCACTAAATGTTTACACTAGTTATGTAACAAATGTACAAGTTATTTGTTTTAACTTATTACCTGAACAAAATGTCTTCTCATATTCCAATCAATGATGTATGTTTTTCTACCAAGAGCATGTAACGTTTCAGCAAAACTTGACGGCTGACA